TTCGGAGAGGGGGTCCAGAACGACCCGTTCCAAAATCAGAACGGCCGTTCTGGATATGGTCGTTTCGTGTAAAATTCGTATACTGGAACGGCCCGTTCTGAAATCGGAACGGCCCGGTCCAGTAGTGGGAATAATAAGTAATTTTTAGACCGGATTCGTCCGGGGGCATACAAACAAGGACATGGACCTCTGTTACGAAGGGAAGGAGCTCCCGAAGCATGCCAACAAGAAGACAGGACTTCAGAGGGCCCAAAAGCACAAATTAAATATTTTTATTGGCCCGGAACGGGCCGTTCCGAGGCTCCCAAAAGGCCAAAAACCCTAATTTGGAACGGGCTGTTCTGAAATTGGAAAAGGCCGTTCCAAGATTAGAACAGGCCGTTACAAACTCCTCAAAAAAGGGCTAAAATTAAACCTTAAAAGTAACTTAATTCTATCAACAAGTCACAGTTTATATTTTGTTCCGTACAGAGTAAAAAAGAAATTTAAAATTAATAAATTAACTTTCTTATTAATAAGAATTATAATAACAGTAACAAAATTTGAATTTAACATTTATTTATATTGTTTAAACTCTTATCATTAAGTCAATTTTAATAATTTAACTAATAAATTAATTAAAATTAAATAAAATAATTGATTAACATAAACATGCAACTTAGAGAGTGAACTAAGAACTTTATTTTACTCATTGTAGATTGTTTATTAAAAAAAATTCGTACTTAAAAAAATATAGGACCTTTTGTAATGTATGTTTTTAAAGACAAAACTGTGTTTGCTTGTCTCTCCAAACAAAACAAATAGAAGTTGGGAACATGACAAGTAGACAAAATGATGCGTAAAATAATTAAATCTTGGTCACAATCAGCTATACCCCAAGTTCCAACATTGTGTCTCTTTTTGCTCAGGAAAGTCTTCGGTCTGATGTGAAATATATATAATAATTTATAATTTATTTATATGTTCGTATCGTTCGAATATTTCGTTTACATTAATACGTAATATACAAGCCTATATAGTTCTTAAAATTGGATTGGATTAATCAGAGTTTATGCAACTATGTACTATCATTTTTGGTTTGAAATGAATATTCGTAGTGGAAGATAACTTAGATAAGTCTTACTTGGCAATAAAAAAGTGTCGCAGGTGTGTACAGGAATTCATGTCGGATTTGCACAGTAAGTCAAGATTAGTCTTGCTAATCTCAAACCACTTGTTCACTAATTACATCTCTCCCCTGCTTTCACAATGTTTATTCTTCATTATAATTTTTATTTATTATATGGTGCTGTGGGTACAAATTAAAAGAATTATAATAATAATAATATTGAAAATTATGTTAAAAGTGTATTATAATTTTGATTTATTATATGGTGCTGTGGGTACAAATTAAAAGAATAATAATAATAATAATAATAATATTGACCAAATCCAAAAAGTAACACGATCCAATACCACCCACCGCATCATAAGCGCCACAATGCGCGCCCTTCAAGGATTAAAAAATGTGATACCAATATTACCCTCTGATTTATAAAATTTATATTTAAATTTAAATATAAACCTGTAATTTTTAAATGATTTTTAAAAATGACTTTAATTTTTATAAACTATTTATAAATTTGTATTACAGTTTTTTTTTTGACAAATAAATTTGTATTGTAGTTAACTTAAAAATCATTTCAATAATAATTTTTAGATTTTAATAAATATATATTGTCAGCAGCATAATTTTTTTTATACACTCTCGATCAATTAATAATTAATTTTACGATTGGACCTTTTTCTCTAATTTTTAGTAAAAAAAATTGACTACAAAAAATAAATTTAACTCTAAATTAAAACAATAAAAATTATTCTTAAAAATTTGTATTTATATTAAAAAAAAAAAAAATAAACGCTCATGGATCTTAACTGTATTTTTATTAGTTTCACAACAAATGCAATAAATAAATAACTGACTCGCGCACACAGTCACTGTCTTCACGTCTCTAACTCACACGCACGCCACCTTATATATAGTATTATTATTATGCATTCAAATTAATTTTCCCAAAGACAAAAAATAAAATAATATAAAATAAAAAAAGAAACTCTCTCCTCTTTCTCTGTCTCTTCATTTCCACGGTGGAATCATCGGAAAACGCAGCGTCACCGGAAAACGCAGTGTCGCCGGAACGAAGATCGAAGAGCGCAGCGACAAAACGGAAACTGGAGCAGAATTAGAGTTTGGCGATTGCGCGAACTCCAAGAATGCCGCTATGCAGGTACCACATTCGGAGCGCACACGCCCTGGCGGATCCGGAGCTCCGCCGCGCCGCCGCCGGCGACGACTCCGAAGCTATCCTCGAGGCCGTCGCAATGGCCGGACTCGTCGGCTTTCTTCGCCAGCTCGGCGACCTCGCTCAGTGAGTTCGCATTCCCTCTTTCTCTCTCTAACTTCTCTCTCTAGAACCGCTTTCTTCGTTGCGCAGTCACGCAGTTCGAGTCGCGGTTCGCTTGATCGCGCCGAGTTTGAATGAGCGTTGTTGAGTTTGAGGAAAAGAAGTTGTCGTTTAATGCAATGTTTTTCAAGTTTAATTATTGGTCAGTGTTGATTGGAGTTTGTTAGTTTTTGATTCAGCGAGTTTTTTTTTTTTTTTCTTTTCGTTTTTTGGTATGTCTGTTTGGAACTTTGTTAGTTCGTTCGGTAGATGGAGTAGCTGGTGGTGGATGAATAGAGTTTTTTTTTTTTTTTTTTTTTTTTTTTTTTTCTGAAATATTATTGTGATTGTTGTTTAATTTTGTGTGATGGAATTTAGTAGATGAAATTGATCTGTAGGATTAGTTTTTAAATTTTGTTTAATTGATCGCTGTTTTTTTTATTTTATTTTTATGTGTGTTTTCTCCTTGATCCTTCGTTAGCTTATGGTTCTTTTTCTTTGTAAGTAGCCACTTTTGGGAGGAAGAAAAGGGGAGAAAAAAGGCGATTGGTTTAAATTATGGGTTGAGAATGAGAAGATGTTGGTTGGCTTTGTATCTATCTATGTGGGTGTTTTATTGACGATGCGTGGATTACAATTCTCTGATTAAAGTTTCTGGATTGATGTTTTCGGCTTGAATTTGAAGAAACGAGTATTTGGTTTAATATGATTGGACTGTTGGTAAAATATGCTTTTGATGTTTTGGGCTTTTTACATAATTTTTATTTATAAAATCACTGAAGGAGAAAATGCAATTTAAGTAGGTTATTTTTAAGCTGACTAACCATGCAGATACTTTGATTTTTCATTTGTTGGATACGGAGTGCGTATAAGGATTCAATGGTCAATCTTAAGATCAGCTATCCGCAGCCACCTCATCAACCCATCTGAACTGAGCCCAGGTGGCTTAAGCCTTAAGACCTGGTTGATTGTGTTTTGATTTTTATTTTTTTTAAAAAAACTATGTAAAGTTATGAAGAACTGTTTTTCAGAACATAATAATAATAATAATAATAATAATAATAATAATAATAATAATAATAATAAAATGTTTGGAAAGTAGAGATGAGAAAACAGAGGCAGCCTATAGCTACTTCTGTTTTTCAGCTTTAAAAACATTTAAATTGAAAATAGTTTTTAAAAAGAAGTTACTCAATTTTTTTTAATCTTTTATTAAAAAAAAAAAACAGGTATCAAACAGGACCTTAATCATGAAAATTTAATTCAAATGCTTGAGGTAGAGAAATTTATGTATCTCATGAGATCCAGTAATCCTGGCCTTTTTTCCCCTTCTAATTCATTATAGAAAATTTGTTCCATGCTGCTGAGTGGACAACATCATTTTTTAACATTTTAAATTATAATTTTTACAGCCACTGTATTCTGTAATTTTTCTGCATTTAACTGTATCATTTATGTTAGATTTGCTGCTGAGATGTTCCATGACTTACATGAAGAAGTAATGGCTACTGTCGCAAGAGGCCACAGTCTTATGTCTCGTGTTCAACAGCTTGAGGCTGAAGTTCCAGCAATTGAGAAGGCTTTTTTGTCAAAACCTCACCATTCATCCTTTTTTACAAACGGAGGTTAAATTAATCAGTACAGAGTCCTTTTGTTTATTGTTTGTCTGCAATATGTCACTGATAGGTGATATTGTTCCCTTGACAATTTTTAACATATTTCTTGCATTTCAGGGATTGAATGGCATCCTAATCTTCGGTCTGAACAGAATCTTGTTACCCGCGGAGACTTACCTCGATTTATAATGGATTCATATGAAGAATGCCGTGGTCCCCCAAGACTGTTCCTTCTGGATAAGTATGAGTCAATTCATCAGACATATGAGTAGAAAATCATTACCACGTTATAATATGGAGAGTGCCGAGGTCCTCCAAGATTGTTCCTTCTGGACAAGTATGAGGACCTAATTCATAGAACATAAATTGAAGCACAAATAAAGATTTATTACTCTTATGTTGTACATATTTGAATCTTCTATTTTTTCTTTTGGCTCTGAAAGGTTTGATGTGGCTGGGGCTGGGGCATGTCTGAAGCGTTATACTGACCCGTCATTCTTTATAGTGGAATCTGCTTCCTCTGGAACAGCAACAGTAGAAATCCAAAGGGAAAAGAAAATTCGTAAAGTTAAGGTATTAAAGCGCCAATTCTACCACTTAATATCAAATTTTCTGGAACATTGTTTTAAATGCACAGAAAGCAATTTTATGCTATGGAAAATTGAATATCTGCAATTTGGGTATATAATATGTATATATTTGTTGTATCCAGCAAAAGAAAGGAACACAACCAACTGAACCAAGGAATGGTGAAACCCCTGAAGTTGTATCATCACATACAAAGTGAGCTCCAATAATTTTATTGTGTTGCATTAATAATTCTTTTGGTTTTAGAAACGCAAAAAGGCCTTTAAATGGTTAATTGGTGACTCAATCCATTTCCATTATTGCAGATTGCATCAGTTGTTGCTCGCGGAGCGTATTGAGAATGCTTGTAGTGACCCTGCTCGTCTTGTGAAGTTGAAAAAGAAACAATTGAATGGATCAGCAGTTGAAGCAAAAACTGGGAAAAGTTACATGAAGAAAATTCTGGAAATCTCCTCACCAGATCATAAAATGGTTCATGAAACTTCAATCATTTCACAGCCTGTGAAATTGGTGTCAGATGATGCTAGTGAAAGTGGGATTAAAATACTTGAAATCAGTAGCATTACTCCTATGAAAAGGTCTTTGGGAAATGAAAACTCATGTTCATCACCAAATGAGCAGGAACTAGAACTGAATCCATACTCAGAAATGTCTTCTAATAATCCTAAAGTACTTGACAAAGAAGAATTCGTATTTGACGAACAAAGGATGAGAGAATGCAGCTTAGATAGCTACCACTCTGATGATGTGACTAGTGATGTTGATGATTATATGGATGCATTAGCTACCATCGAATCTGAATTGGAAACAGAGAATGAGAGTAGACCAATGAAAAACTTCTTAAATATTCAAAATTTAACCGATTCAAATGGCAGAGGGGAACCTCAACTGCAAGCTCAATTTTCAGATTCTCAATCATTTGGAGACTCCTTGACTTCTGAAGAAACTAGTTCATTTGAACAAGATAGAAATGGAGAGCATAATGAAGTGCTAGGTCAGTTGTCAGATTCTCTGTTAACAGGAACCTCCTGGGCATCCTATGATAATAGTTCATTCAGAAGAGATAGAAATGAAGAGCATTCCCAACTACAAGCGCAGTTTTCAGATTCTCAATCTATCAGAAATTTCACATCAGCGATTGAAGATGCGCCATCCAACCAGCTTCCCCCAAATTTTGAGTTGCATAGGACTTTTCGTCACAAGTTTGTTTTGCATGATGATGCACGTGTTCAGGATGAAGTGATTTCTGATTCTAGGCCAGTCTCTTCTGGTTCATGTCTGATGGATTCTAAACATTTATTGTTGTCTGCTGATCTTGGATCGGCCTCACCAGCATCCCTACCTGCAGGGAGTCAATCAGATGAAACAACATCTGGCCCTGTTCAACTTCATTTAAGAATAGAAGATGACGAAGAAAAGAAGTGTCTTGTTGAATCTATAGTGACCAGACCTGATGCTCTCTACGCAATAAGAGATGATGCTTGTTCAATGGTTTCTTTTGATAACAATTCTTTAAACAACCTGGATGCCTGTGATCTCTTTGTTCATTCCAATGCTCTGTTACAAGTTTCTAATGAATTAAACTTAGCTCATGAAGGTGAATGTGGTGATCATTCTAGGATTGAAGCTTTTCAGAACGATTCTCTTAATGAATATTCTTCTGAAATTTTGGTTAGTGGAGATGTTGGTTTACAAGGGGAGGATCCCATTTGCCCTTCGATGGAAGTAGACCTGAATCCATGTACTAAGCTGCTGCTTGATGGCCAAAATTTAAAATCTGAGGATGATATTACAACTACCCAGCTTAAATCAGAAGATCTGTATCCTGTCGTGGAGACTACACCAAAGAGTAGCTTTATAGAGGAGCTACGCTTTGATTTAACAGAAGGAAACAAACCAGAATTAGCAGAGTTAGAAGTTCGGCATCCTAATCAGCAATCAAATTTTGAAGAGGTGCCAACGGTATTGTCTGGTGATGAAATAAGTGGATCCACCAGCAGGTTGGATCTAGTTGAAGATGATGGTCCTATGAAACATCCATCTTTTGACATCATATCACCTCCAATGAGTAATCTAACAAAGTTGGAAGAACCTCTTTCTGTTTTTGCAGATCGTAGTGAGAAAGAGATTTTAGTCAATGAGGCAGATAGTAGTGAATCTTTGACAGAATTGGCAGTCCAGAATGCAGTGGATCAACCAAAAATTTCTTCTATTGATGAACAGTCGAACCTGAAAAGATTAGTTCCATGTGATCCTTCTGATTCTGGAATGCGGAATAATATTCAACATTCATCTCTTAAGGAGAAAATCCAATATGGTTCTTCCATCAGTGATCTGAAAATGGTGTCCATTTGTTCAGAGCTAGACTCTCAAAGGTCATCGGGCCAGGGAATGAACCCAACAAAACGACTCATGGTTCCATTAAAACCTCTTATTCCTGACCTCTTACCCAAGGCAACTAAAATCAATCTTAAGGAGATGCCACCTATGCCCCCTCTGCCACCAATGCAATGGAGAACAGGCAAGGTTCAAGATGCTTCCCTAGTTACACAGAGTGAAGACATGGAAGTAAGTCTAGCCTCACTCCAACCATTGCAACCAAATAAACCAGATGATAAGTCTCAATTTGGTCTATCAACTTCTGAAAAAGAGACCTCGCCATATCAGAGTGTATTTTTGCCTGTCATGGCTGTGGAAAGTAATATGCATCAACATTATTCTGGGTTTTCAGTGGGCATTTCAGAGCACCCTGTTGCTGTTCCTTTTCAATTTCCTGTAATGGTAAATGAAGCAAATGGTCAATATAATTTCCTAGCTCCAGAGCAAAGCCAAATCCAGAACCCTGTCTTAACATTACAGGACAGGCCTTCACTTGGATATGTTGTTGCTTCAGAGGGAGAAATGATATTGAATTCAAGTCCATGCCCATCAACATTTCCTGCCGAGTGTTCTGTTTCAGGGGCTGATCCCATTTTTCAACAAGAAAAACCAAGTCAAGTAATGGAAGGTACGAACTTAGAAGTTAAATTGGATAGACCTAGAGAATTGCATTTGGCTCTACCTGCAGAATGTCCTGTTTCTGGGGATGATCCCACCTCTCCGAAAGAGAAACCAACGCAATCTCCAATTCAGTTAACGGAAGGGACTAGTTTAGAAGCTACAACTCTAATGCAGTCTTCAATTAATCTGGAAAGGGAACAAGGAGATCCTTCAATCCCACTCGTGTCACCTCCAAGTCTAGAAATTGAGAAGACCGATCACAGCCTGCTGCCTTCAGAGGGAAAAATGGCGTTTCCATTGGATACATCTTCTCAAATATCTGAGCATGATACTGAGATGCCTACTGGAAAACCAAAGAATAAGCGTCTTCTTCCCCAGGAGGATCCTGTAATTGATCCTGTTGCTGCTCTTGACAAAAGCAGGGTAATAACGCTTTTCTTGTTCTCATAGAATATTAGAATGTACTCTTTATGTGGCCTTAATTCTTACATGACACGCTAAATTTGAACCACTGCAGCTGAAGAAGGTCGCTGAACGAGTTATGCCCCCTAGAGCACCAAAGGGAGATGAAAGAGACTCGCTGCTAGAAATGATAAGAACAAAGGTTAGAGCTAGCAACTTTTAGGAATTTTTATGAATCGGATTTTTGAAAAATTTAAATCGAACCGATTCATTTTATATAAGTGAATTGGTTAACCAAATCATTTTTTATAAAATAATTTGATTTTTTTTAAAATTAATTGATTTTTTTTTTAAATTTGATTGGATCGATACTGTACAGTTTGGTTATCTACTTTATACTCGTATGAATCGGTATTTTCAAAAAATAAACTAACTGAACCAATTCATTTTGCAAAAATGGATTGGTTAATATAATCATTTTTACAAAATGGATTAGTTTGGTTTTTCCTCAAAATGAATCAATTTTTTTAATTTGGATCTACTCAATTTTTGATCGTTCGGATTGGTTTGAATTTTTTTTTGCATACTTTTATCTTATTATTCATGTTGTTCGTACCCTTTTGTTTCTTGTATCTAAAAAAATTAAAATCTTTGTACACATTTTTTTTTGTCAGTCCTTCAACTTGAGGCCTGCTGTGGTTCAACGACCACCCAGCATTCAGGGTCCCAAAACGAACTTGAGAGTTGCTGCCATCCTGGAAAAAGCAAATTCAATTCGCCAGGTCTCTCTCTTTCTTTGTGTGTGTGTTTATTGTAACAGGTTTGTGTTCCTCTCCCCCTCTCTGTCCCAGCAAGAACTAACTAAACTATTGTTGATTATTGAATTAGGCATTGGCTGGAAGTGATGAAGATGATGATGCAGATAGTTGGAGTGATTCTTGAATTTACTATGGAAAGAAAAACACTGTTCTGGGTGATGCTGATGGTGGATTTTTTTTTATTTTTATTGTGCGTCTTGCCCTGAATTAGGTGTAACAGTCATTCTCCTCTGTAATGAATAAAAAAACTACGTGACACAGTTATACAAAAATTCTTTATCCAACACTTGGACAACATATGTTCCTTCCATAGTCTTTTCAATTCACACATAGATGCATGAACATTGGAGCAGCATTCAGCTTAGCATCAATTCAGAGGTGAAACTCACCGCAGTCAGACTCTTGCTCAGCGTGCATGCGCAGTATCAAACAAGATCATCAATGCTTTTCTCTCGTCATATAAGAACGTGTATATTTGTGTTGTGGTTGTCATGTTTTTTTGATTTATCAATTTTGTAATTCGGTAATGTAGTGGTTTCTCATAATTGTCTCATACATGTAGCTTATCTGTTTGAGTTCAATACAATAGTATACATATACGCGCGTGTAAAATATTTTGATTTTTGAATGTACAGTATCTGCTTCTTTTATTTTTATCCATATTTTTTTTACAATAATTACATCGAGTTTAGAATTTTTGACCTCGATTCCTAGTTCCTACTATTAAAGTGATCCTAAATAGTTTTTTTTTTAAATTTATTTATTTGTTGAAATGATATGAAATTTAAAACAATTTATTAAAATGATATACATTCAAAAGAAAATCAATCTTGGGTGGTTTTGCTAATGAGCTGTTTGGTAAGGAGGATACAAAAATTTTGAAATTTGAGTTGGAAAGAAAGAAAATTTTGAATTTTTATTTCTTTAAGTTAATTTTTTTCCTTTTTTTTTCAACCAAATTAAAGAAAACAGAGTTTTTCATGTTTTCTTCTTCTCCATGTTTTCTCTTATCCAAATATATCATAACCGTGTTGGTCAGCAATGAGAGGCAAGAAAAATGTGGTGCAAAAATATCAGGCCCAACAACACGAGAATTCGTTACTTGTCAACATTAGGTGTGTGACATGGTATGATGTGTTTTGTGTTAACATTGAGAAGCTGTCACATGTTAAATGTAGGTATAGGACAATTTACTCTTAGAAGGTGTATTGGATTGATATATTTTGAAAGATAATTTTAATATGAAAAGTTCTTATAAATTTTAATGAAGTTTTAAAAAAAAAATTTGTAAAAATGTTATGACGTTTAAGATTTTTTTTAAAAAGATTTTTAAATTTTAGATTTTAATTAAGACTTTATAATTTAGATTTTAACGGATTTATATTATAAGATTTTAAAGGAATTTTATGAATTTTACATGAAAACATGGATTTATAATATTATAAGATTTAATAAAAAATATAACATAAGTAATAAAGAAAAGTAAAATTAACACAATTTTTTTATCTTTTGACAAATAATTATTTTTATGTTTTGACAAATAATTGACTTTGTCTTCCTAATTAACATTTCTTCACATATCTAAGTTATATTGCTCTTTTATACATTGTCATATTCTCTTTCATGTACTTAAGTCTAAAAAATATGTTTAAAATTATGGTCTTTATTAACTAGTAGCATTGAAGATGAAGATTCATTCACTAATTCAATTGAAAATTCATAAGGACAACATCCATTACGAAGAAAGTTATGTAATATTAGATGTTAATTCAAGTTCAGTTTATCTTCATTTGTATGTTGTAGAAATAGAAGTCAAGACTTAAAAATTGTGAAGTGTGATTTAAAAATACTAAATATCCTCTCAATCATATTTTTTAAATATGTATGACGTAAATTGAAAGCTTGATTTTTATTTTGAGGGTCATTACCATGATTCACAAAAGTCTTTTTAATATATGTTTCAAAATTTATATTTCAATATTAAATTTTATTATAAATAAACAATTAAATTTTAATAATTTTAAAAAATTAACAATAGATAGGGAAGAGAGAAGGAGGGAGAAAAAATATGAGACAAAGAAGAAGATATAAATGAGAGATGAATAAAAAAAAAGAAAAAGAAAATAAGAGAAAGTAACATGATTGACAAGAGAGAATGAAAGAAAAAAAGAATATGATAGAAAAATAATAATAAAGGTGAGAGAATAGATTTAAGAGAGAGAGAAAAAAATAGTAGAATTAGAAGAAAAAAAAAGTCATGTAAAATCTCAAAGATTTTAATGAGATTGTTTAATGAGTGAATTACACATAAATTATATTTAAAATTTTATAAAATCTAGTATTCAAAATAATTCATTAAAATCTCTATATTTTTTAATATCAATAAAATTTTTTAAGTAAATAATAATAATTAAATATTACCAGATTTTGATAATTCTTAAAAAATCCTAATTGAATATATCAGATTTTGATGGACTCTTAAAAAAATTATAATTATTTTAATTAAATATTACGTGATTTTTTTATATTAAAAAAAAAGTAACTAGAGTGTATGTTAAATTTAAGTGATTAAAAAGATAAATTTTTGAATTTGAGAGATTAACATAATATTTTTTTTAATATTTTAGAGACTTAAAATATAAGTCTTAGATTTTAGGAAAAAATACATATTTTAAATTTAAAGGACTAAAAATATAATTAAGTTTAAATATTTCATTACATAATTTTAAATTAAAATAAAATTTTAAATATATGATTGAGAGATACTTTCAGTCTAATGTTAAGTTTTGAAAAATAATTGATCAAATAAAAGTTATTGAGCAATGTAGTAGTTAATAGAAATTACACCAATATAATCTATACCTATTATAAAGAAATATATTTTGGTAACCACTATTTTGGTCTCCACTTTTTAGTAGACTATTATATCCTTGAATGTAAAAAAATATTATATTCTCTTCAATTAACTATTCACAACTTCTAATATTTGTCTGTATAACTATTAGAAATATGAAGTGTCTCGATCTCTCTAATATATATAAAGATGATACTTATTCCAAGGATAAGACTTATTTCACTAAGTAAATTATGTTCTACATTACATTTTAATGATCCAACCGAAATTAAGTTTTTAAATATATAAATTAAGTCTATAAATTTTTAAATTTTTGAAAACTATTTAATACTTTATTCTATTAATTCAAATTGACGGATAATCATAAAAATATTTTAAATGCTAATTTGAATCTATATAATAAAGTATCATATGTTTTTAATTTTTATTAAAAAATATTTATTAAGAATTTTTAATTTAACTGGTAGATTATTAAAATTTAATGTAAAACATAAATTATTGAGTGAAATAAATTTATTAATATCCATTCTTAAAATAAAAGTGTAACGACCCATCATGACCATCACACTACGGAATAACTAAACGACGGAAATATATACTAAAATAGTATAATACATATATATAAACATATATACAACATAGGTGGCCTAACATGCCACACAGTGGCGGACCTTTTAAGGGACAGGGGGAGCCACGGCTCCCCCAAACTTTTTTTAGAATATTTTTATATATATATTCATATATATATATATATATATATATATTTTATAGTTATTTTATAAAATGACTAGTGAATGATAATATTTATTTTTAAATTTTATTATTATGCATGTTTATTTTGAGTAGAGAAA